CTAAGGTGAGCACAGGGCCACCCAGAGGATTCAGGGGTCTGGGGCAAAGCAATTTTGGGGGCCCCAGAAAGTTGCACTACTATAGAATACTATATTCTCGTGGGGGCCCCTGTGGGGCCCGGGGCCTGGGGTGAATTGCCCCGCTTGCCCTCCCCCTCCCCGGGTGGCCCGGGGTGAGCACCTTTTCAAAATGCAAAACAGGGCACATGCAGGAGCTCTGCCCCCTCTGTGGCCACACCCCCTGCTCCTCCTCTTCCCTGAGGCCCCGCCCCCTGGCCAGGCTGGAAGCCAGACCCAGGCCATGGTAAGAGCCTCCCAAGGAGCCCAGGCTGCTGTCGGAATCTCTGGGCCCTCCACCTACCCTGGGTGGGGTACTGGGATGCCCAAGAGCAGCTCCGGGCCTGTGTCCCTGCCCCCCAGGGTGCACTGCCCAGGGCAGGTGGAGAGTCTGGGACTCTGGGGCTCCCCACAGCAGCCCAGGCTCCCTGGGTGGCTCCTACTGCTCAGGTTTGGTTTCTGGCCTGGCCAGGGGCAGGGCTTCAGGGGGGAGAGGAGGAGCAGAGGGCAGAACCTCATGGCAAGGGGGGACTAAGGCCCACCTCAGCACCTCCCCCACCCCCCACTGGGAAGAGGCTGGCGCCACCCCTGAGTCTCAGGTAGGTGTGGAGCAGCACCAGAGGGAATCCAAGACAAATGGTGTTCCAGAGTCACTCAGGCGGGGACTGGGACTTGAAATTGTACATTTTGGGACTGTCCCACCCATTTAGGGATGGGTGGTCACCCGAATTGTGACAGCTGTTTCTACTGAGGTAGTCCCCTGTCTATGAGGGGCTAAACTGAGACTCACTGGCTCATCTCACAGCCATCAACTGGTAACAATTGTCAGCCGCTCTCAACCTAGCCTGGCTTTGAATCAGTGACCTAGCAGTACCAGGCGCCACCTTTCCAGGCCCTGGCAGTGTCTGGCCTTTCAGAGACAACCCCACCGAAGCGCCATATATAAAAGAGCTGAGAGGTGTAATCAATAAATCCGTCATAGAACAGAGGTCTCTCCACGCTGCTGCACCGCATGAATACCCTGTTCCCTATGCTGGTCGGTGGAGCTCTCACTGTGACAGGTCAACGGAACAATAATAAACCACCTTGCTTAATATGTGCTTTCCCCCCTCTGTTTCTTGATGGCTGGCCAGGGCTGGGAGCATAGCTGTGCAGGAACAGGTTCTGTTGGTTACACCGGGGTCACTGCAGAGTAATTCTGTTGTAGCCATTGGCGTTACCCCAGATTTACACCACTGTAACGGAGCTCAGAATTGAGCCCCTGCTGTATTTGTGAATGGGTAACACTTGCCTTCAAGTTCACGTCCAAAGACACCTCTCGAAGCCAGACCTTCTGAGCAGTGATTGGGACAGGTTAGAGCGGCCATTGGCATGATTTGGCCTCAGCAGGAGGCTCATGTTTTCATTGCTTACCCTTGAGCAACCATTGTTTCTGCATGGACTATAAATATGCACCGCTCCTCACAGCAACCCGCCAGTGGCCCATGAAGCTTGTCTACGCCATGGTAAGTCAGTGGCTGGTGGTACCTGACTGTGTAACTGTAGGCTGCGTGCTTGGGAACAAGTCTCCTCTTTATTTGTGAATAATGAGATTTGTCCTCCTTAAATCTGTGTGAATGAATTGGTCAATGTTACCATTGAAAAACCAGCCAAGTTTGCAGTGAGTTTCCCTTTCTCTTCCAGAAGTTCCTGTTGTTCCTCTTCCTCGTCCTTCTCACCTTGGGGTCCCTGTGCACTGCCCAGTGTTACATGAGACCCCCAAACAAATACGGTAAGAATGGCAAATTCTCCACTCATGCTCAGGACTTCCATTTACTGGATTGAAAGGAGCACTTGCTTAGAAATGTGGGGATTGTGCTGTCCATTGCAGTGTGATGAAGATACATAGGCAGTTAGATGCTATTTCATATAAGAGTGTCTCCAGCCAGACAGCTAGCTAGCTACATACACCCAAACTGAAAGGCACGGCAGAGTTCTCTATGGACTCGGATATGAGGTTGTTGCCTAAACAAATAGCATATCACATGGGAGAAAGAGGAAGTGATGCTAAAAAGCTGGCACCTCTCTGTCCTGGCCTCACTGTTTCTATTACTACTCATTGTCAAACATGGAAACCAGAATGGAAGAACTACTTGCCTGCTTTATTGTGTCAGGAGGGGGGGATGGCCTAGTAGTTAGAGCAAGGGGGGGCTTGGTGGCAGGAGACCTGGTTTCTACTCCTAGCTCTGCTACTGACTTGCTGCGATAGCTTGAGTGAGTCTTTTAACTGCTCTGTGCCTCAGTTTCCCCATCTGTAAAATGGGCATGGTATTACCTACTTCCAAGGGTTGCTGTAAGGATTCATTAGATTTTCAAAACAGTGAAGTGTCTTAGGTGTCCAAGTCCCATTAAGTTGCCGTAGGACTTAAGACCCAGATTCTCAAAATAAGTAGGCACCAAACTCCCATTGATGAGAGGTGCCTAAATACCTTTAAGCATCGGAGCCTATGTGCCTACCACACATAGGTGCTTTTCCACTGTTACCCGATGGGTAAAATCCTAGCCTTACTCAAGTCAATAGCAAAACTCCCATTGACTGCAATGGGGCCAGTATCTCATCCAAAGTCTTTAAAGTGCTTTAAGAACTTGAAAATCACTATGGGCTAGATTGTGCTTTGGGGCACAGCTCTGAGCAAGGGGGGGATGCATAATCTCCACTACTCCCACAGTGGCCAAGGGAGGTGCTGTGACTTGGAGAAACCCCTCCAAGGCCAATTCCCACCCTGCTTCTCCTTTGCTCTGGGAAGGGGAGGGAGGTAGTGATTTGATTCTGTCTTACAGCAGTAAATTATGACACCCCAGAGCCAATAATTTGTCCATCCCCCACCCAGCTGCTTGGAGGGCACAGGGGTATGGGGCCAGGCCTGCTTATCCCTATATGCCTAGGACTGTGCAGCACAGTTCAGATGTGCAGTCCAAGTCACCATCTAGCCCTATGAGGTGAGTATCAATAGTAGCAGAACGATGCTCAAAGTGGTACTAGCCATAAACTAAAGCATTTCTCAGCCTCATGATGTGTTTTGAATAGCATTTCTCTGCTAAAGATGGGTGTGCAGCAGATAACATTTCACCCTGCTAGTCCACATCCTAGCCGCAGCAGGAGCAATGGCATTGCATCCCATCACAGAACACGGCCCATATTCATCCCTGGTGGAATTCCACCCAAGTAGTCAGAGCTTTAACTGACAGCACCCAACCCAAATGCTGTATTTTACCTCTAAATGTCAGCATTGATCTACCGGGCATTGTTTTTGTTGTGTGTATCCAGGCTGTGTTGAAAACAGAAAGCTGTATCAATTCGGTGTAGTGTGGAAGACCAAGGATTGTTTCAGATGTGAATGTCAGCCGCGAGCAATGATCTGCTGCAGCCTGTAAGTCCAAGCAGACTAGGGCTACTTTTGTACCAAGCCTAAGGGAGGGTTGAAATTTTCCAAATTTGGAAATTTCAGTGAAAATTTGCATTGACATTTCAACAAAATTGGAGCAAAATCCTGTCTCCGGGTTTTCATCCAGCTCTACCACTGACAAAACAGGACAATCTTCTTTGTATCCAGGCTTCTTTGAAAAAAACCACAGCCACAAACTTGCAAACACACAGCTCAGAGCTTTTCCCTATTACTCCTCCTATCCCTCCTCTTGACTTTGCCACCGGCAGGATCTCGGATCCCCTTTCCCCCGGATTTTTCGCCCTCCCTCTCTATGGCAGCTCGTCTCGTTTCTGGAGATGCATGACTCATCACTCCAGTTCTGGAGCCCTAAACATGCAATAAAGCATAGATATTTAGTGTGGACCCTTGCAGTCTGTGGGGCACCGCACAAGGTTCTGTCTGTATGCATCTCTTAGCCCCAATTGTTCTAGATCAGTTCTTCTCAATCTTTTCCGTATACCCAGAACACCTTCTTATCTAGCCAGTATGTAGCCGAGACTCTGTGCCCCACAATATAGGAAGGGCAGGGTGGTTATGGCCCCTAGGTTGAGAACCCATGTTCTCGATCCCATTGTGAGTCCCTGCCCTCCAGAATTTAAATCATGATTATGTCCTGGGCTGGTGATGCTATCAGAGGTCCTGTGGGTGGGGAAAAAACCCTGGAGGGGGCTCGTGGTTGGAATACTGACCAAGATCACAGCTGGTTGAGAATTTTTCAACAAATTGTTTTGTGGCTGAAAATTGCCAATTCAGTGCAACCAAAACTGTTTGCAAAACAGGGTCGAGTTTGACAAATTTCCCAACTCAAAACAAGGTCGAGAATAAAAGTTTCCAAACTCTTGAAACATTGCTCTTTGCCATTTAGAAACAAAAAAATCCAGTTGCCCGGTTCAAATCACCTTTAAAAATTTAAGCTAACAAGACTGAAAAGAAGGTTAAAAGACAAAGAGATTGGCATCAAAACAAGACGTTTCCAAATGATTGAAACAAAATGTTTGGATTGACCCAAAATTGGGGAAAATGGGGGTTTTAATGCACAAATATTTTTGGGATTTTGACTTTTTGTCCCGATTCTAGACAGGAAAAATTTAGAACTCTGGAAAATAGTCACTGGATGGGAAAACCATTTCCTCCCCAGCTGTAAGTGAGGATAATTCCCCCAACCCCTCACAGATAATTCCCCCAACCTTCCACCCACTGGAGAGGGCAGGGGGTTAGCAAGGGCAGGAGGGGGCATGTCGGGGTAGTTCTTATGTGCTGGTGGCTCCCTGTCCCTGCAGTGGCCCAAAGACCTCAGAGCTGAACTACTCCCTGGCAATCTCTGAACATGGCAGGCAGAGGCTGTTTCCAGTCTGGCCCTGCACCAGGTCCGGGGTGAATGTGGCTCTATAGGTTTAATTCCTAGCAAAGCTACTACAGAGAATTACATTTGAGCGAAAAAATATTGAAAAAAAATCAGTTCATTTTTTTACTCACCTGCTAAGACTGGAGAGCAGAGCGCTGTGTTGCCATAGCAACAGTCAATACCACCAGCAAGTACTATGGGCTAAATTAATCCCTGAAGTTACTTCCCCTGAAGTCACTGGAGTTGTACCAGGGATGAATTTGGCCCAGTAAATATGATTTTTTTTCCCCTGACCTATATCTCGCATTCTGATCTCATCTTCGTCTTCCTCACTGACAGCGTTTTCAGACCCACCAACTACGACCGAGAGAACTGCATTGCCCTGTTCCATAGGAAGAGCTGCTCTATGCGCGTGGTGTGGAAGAGCGATCCTCAGGAACCCTGCAATGTCTTTGCCGGAGTTGGTTAAGACTGCTTTGAAGTGGTCTTCTCATTCAGCAGCTCTCTTGCAAGTTGAGCAGACCCAGCACCACTCCTTTAGAGGAAAGCAGCGAATCAGCGTGGTTTCAGGAATAACAGACTTGTGTCCCCCTTTTCACATATGCTGTGCTGTGACTTCTCTTGTTACATACAGATTTGTGACTGAGATTTAATCAAAGATCATTTACGGTAACATCATCTCTGATGAAATCTGGGGTTAAATAAAGACACAAGCATCAAGCTCTTTTCCTTCTACGCAGTTAATAAACAGTCATGTAGAAGAATCCATGAAGTTTACTAGGGATCTAGGTATGCAAACCTAATTTACTTGGGAGTCGCTTAGATCAGTGGTTTTCCTCCAGGGGTCTGGAGCCCACTGGGGGGCCAAGAGCAGGTTTCAGGGGGGCCGCCAAGCAGGGCCAGCATTAGACTTGCTGTGGCCCAGGGCAGAAAGCCAAACCCCCACTGCATGGGGCTGAAGTCCGGAGCCCTGAGCCCTGCCACCTGGGGCTGCAGCTGAAACCTGAGCAATGTAGCTTTGCAGGGGTCCCGGTGGCATGGGGACCCAAGCAATTGCCCTGCTTGCTACCACCTAACACCAGACCAATTTTATATGCAGAAAACCAGTTATTGTGGCACAAGTGGGTTGTGTAGTTTTTATAGCACGTTGGGGGGGGGGGGGCCTCAGAAAGAAAAAGGTTGAGAACCCTGGCTTAGATACTATGTTGGCAGGCATTAGACAAACCAGATAGATAGATTAGATACTCTGTGGTATCTCCCTCATTTGATGTTTCCTTCAGTATATGCAAGGATGTATTGGAAGAATGGTAGAAACAAAGCAGCAAAGAGTCCTTTGAACACTATTCCCATATCCTATGAAACCAGGTCCTCTGTACCGGTGCACACAAGCAAAACAGATTTGCCAGGATACGTATTGTGTATTAGAAAGCAGGAGCGAGCCCACACTTTTAAGTCCAACCTACGGGAAAAAGATGCTATCTCATTTTTTCTACAGCCTTAAATATATGTGTAGCATCTCGTGGTATAATCTGGTTTGGTACAAAGTTCAAAAACAAACCAACTCCATGAAAGTCTTTATGAAAAATACCCCATGTAGACAATATACTAAAGATGAAATGTAACAATGTATATAGCAATAGTGAAAAATAGGCTGGTGCCAACCAGTCTTTAGAATCAAATTACAGCATCATTTCAGTCAATAATTACAACACTTGTGCTTTGTTCATCCATGCAACTCTAAATACACCGTCACAGTGTAATGCAACTGGACCTGGAAACAGTGATACATTTTTACATCTGCTTATTTAGTTGTACTCGTCCATTTCAAACTATAGCGCTTGTTTTGAGGCCATGAACATACAAGTCTGTACACACATTCTCACTTAGTAAAGAAACAGATTTTAAAGAAAGTCCATCCAGCCAAAGGAATATTGGAACTTAGTTGGTTTGAGGAGGAGAAGTCATATGAGAAATACCAATGATTGCAGCTATCTAATCCTATGCCACCCAGCTCTGCTGTAAATTAGAGCCGCTTAGTGACAGCAGTATAAGAGTAAGGACGCTCCATGATCTTATGTCAGTGGTGGATTGGACATAGCATAGCTCACCGTGCCCCTCCCAACCCACACCCAGTGTGCCCTTGCTATGTCCCCTCCTTTCCCTTGTGCTGTGGGTGCACAGGACAACTGGCACAGGAGGTGGGAATTCTCCACTGACCAGTTTGCATCCACTTTATGCCCCTGGAGCAGCGCATAGTGGACTTAGTGGGCCAGAGAATCTGGCCCTGTATCTTAATGCATGTGCACAAGAGGGCAGTGTTAAGGTGGAGAGCAGGTCTAAAACGCTATGAAAAGGCCATGCATGCAACAGCAGCTTTGGTGTTTCCTGACTTGTGAAAAGAAGAACAGGAGTACTTGTGGCACCTTAGAGACTAACAAATTTCTAAGGTGCCATAAGTACTCCTGTTCTTCTTTTTGCGGATACAGACTAACACGGCTGCTACTCTGAAACTTGACTTGTGAGTGTTTCACCCACAGTGATCTGTATGGGATATTACTTCTGAAGTATGGGGTGACATGAAATAACTTGGGTTCCAGAGTGCAGAGGGAAGCAGTGCTAAGAAATTAGAGATAAGAGCATGTTATTCCTGCTAGCACCTGGCATTGTTCCACTAACATGGCATTACCGCGATTGCAATGGCAGAGGCATTAGGAAGCCCGTGGCGTGGCTCATTATCGCAGGGTCTCAAAGCACTGGGAAAACAGCAACAGGAGGAGTGGCGGCATATAGTGGTTAAATCACAGAACTAGGAGTCGTAAGAGCTGGGTTCTAGTGCAGTCTTTGCCACTGACTCCATGTGACCTTGAGCACGTCATTTCCACTCTCTATGCCTCAGTTTCCTCATTAGCAAAATGGGGATAATGATACTTGTTCCCCTTGTAAAGTGTGTTGAGATTTCTGATGAAAAACCCAGGAAGCTTTATGGTATTGTCACCAACATGACTGGGATGATCTTCCCCAGCATTACAAAGAACTGCTCTGGGTAAGTGCCACAAACCAGTCTCGGTACATTTTAGACAACAGTGGCAGAAGTCCTGGAGAATATGCTGAGAGGGAGAATTCTGCACTGCTGGGGCTGGGAAATGGATTAGGAACCCTATTCAACTCCTCCGACATCAACAGGAGTCTTTCCATTGACTTCAATGCAAGAGGGAACAGAGCTGAGTTGGCCAAATAATGCTCACTGAGACAGAACAAAGTCAACAATAAAAGGCTCAAGCTGCATTTGGGCAGGACCCACAAATCATTTCGGATTTTGATTAAAGACAATTGCTCCGTTTCAGTGACAACTGAACTACTGAATGTTGGCAATGTTGGTATGGCCTGGCCCATTTGTTCCAACCCCCTGCATTCAGTGGAGTACGGAGAAATTACATACGTTGTACAATGCCAGGAGCAACAAGGTCGAGCACCCTCGACTCAGAAGTTCTTTGCTGTTGTGGGTTGGTGCCGCTCCTCTCGTATTAATATATCGATTTGGGATGCAATCAAACGCTACAACATTGTTCCCCAATATGCTCCATATCTAACTGCAGCAGACTTGCCACCCTTGCTTTCCAACAACCTGCTTGGAAGTCTGGACTAGCAGTGGTTTGAACAGAAGTTTTGGGAGCCAGGAGTTGCCGATCACACATTTAAGGACCCAGGCACATCACTAGATCAGGCCCTAGGCCAAAATACTTCCCCACAAACTTTTTGCTGCAACTATTGCTTTGATAACTTGCTCTTAATTTCTTTCCCATTTCTCAGAGAATCGCATTTGCACGAGTCCCCTTTCTCTGTCAGCAAGCAAAATATCCCTGGTATGAATGTCCATGGGAAAATTTCAGGTTTTTAGTGGAATAAATGTTCTCAGGGGTTTTCTCCCTGCCCCTCCCCCCCAGTATCTGCCCATCTCTAGTTCGGGATGAGAGGAGATCCTCACCCAAAAAGCCCAACCCCCTTTCCTCCCAGGCATGGGAGAAGTGATCCTGGCTCGAGGAGCCCAAATCATAGGCAGAGGCAAAGTGAGGGCCTTCCCTTATTACACTGTATGGCGAGTCTCTTCTACCTTCAGGTGTGGAGCCCAGGCTCATCATGTTCCTCCTTTAGCCTTGGCCTCAGCCCAGACCCAACATGCTCCTTCTTTAGACCAGAGTCCTCTTCTCTCCTCCCCTCATACTCAGGCCCCTCTGTTAACCCAGAAAGGTGAGGACACACGTACCCTTCTCATAGGAGACCAAGGAGGGGGCACACACCTCTGGAGGAGGTTGGGGGTGTAGCTTTGATTTGAAAAAAGTTTGTGAAGCTCACATGGCCTCGGATATCTGTAAGTTCCCTGGTCTTCATCATCAACAAGAGGTGTGACCTGAAATAGCACCGCAGGCCTTGGCAAGCTCCTGCTGCCCCAGGGAACAAGATATCTGATACTTTTCTACGAGAGAACAGTTTGGCAGCTGTTTCATTTGCTCAGCATTGGCTTTTGTAGGAGCTTTGGCTTTAGGTTGTATATAACCCTCCCCCGCTCCAGGAGCAATGTTATTCCACGCAATGATCAGTTGAAGCATATTCTGTGTTTTCTACTGCCAAGGTAGTGGATGCAGCTGATAACTGATTCCATGTTGCCATCTTGTTTGATTTTAATTAAGGAAAGCTGACCAGCTATGGTGTATGGCCCCTGTGAAATATCTCCCATTCAATTAGTCTATTGCTTAGGGCAGAGGTCCTCAAAGTGTGGGGTGAGCCTCCCCAGGAGGCTCAGAGGAACGCTGGGGGAGTGCAGCAGGGCTGGGCCAGCCCTCATGGGACGCGGAGAGGAAGCGCTACCCATCCCCTCCCCACCCCCAGCTCCAGTCCCAGTCCCCAGCCCCATCCCTGGCTCCCGGCCCCGCCCCCCAGCCTTGGTGCAGCTCCATTCCTGGCCCCACACCAGCCCCCAGCCTCGGCTGCTGGCCATGGCTCTGCTCCCGGCTGGGGGTGGGTGGGGCCAGGAGCAGAGTCACATCTGGCGGGGGGCCCAGCTGCAGGGCCCCACCGCAGCCCGGCTGCGGCTCTGCTCTTGTCCCTGCCCACAGCCTAAGCCCCTGGCCGCAGCTTAATCCCTGGCCTGCTCCCAGCCTGAGACCCACTCCCAGCTGCGGCCCCAGCCTTGGCACCCTTACCCCTGCCCGCGTCACCTCCCCCGCCCCTGAGCTGCGGCCTAACTCCAAGCCCCGGCTCCGGGAAGTGCGGGGGCATGGACAGAGTTATGAGGGGCATGTGTGACGGGTTAGATCACCGAAACCCCCTTGGGAACTGCCAACTGATGTGCCAAGACTACTTCTGCCCCTGTTTTCCCTGCCAGCTTGGGACTCCAGCACCATGTCTTGCTGAGGCAGACATGCCCATCTGCTCCAACACAGACTCAGGGTCTGAACCACAATAAGAACAGGAGTACTTGTGGCACCTTAGAGACTAACAAATTTATTTGAGCATAAGCTTTCGTGGGCTACAGCCCACTTCTTCGGATGCATAGAATGGAACATA